TTCCGGTCAGGCTGCCTGACCCTTAGGGGGCCTAGTTCTTGCCCATTCCTCCATTGTTCTCCCGTGTCCGGCGGTTCCATCCGGCTCACTCTCAGGTCTTCACCTCCCCTCGTTCTCTACGAATTTGGTGAGTATCGCTGCCCTCCAGGATGCGATGGTCACTACCACCAATCCTAGGGGTTAGCGTGTGTCGATCTGCACGTGTATACGGACGGGCCGTCACCTGGCCACATTCACCCGTCCGCCTGGGTCGAGTCTCTACAAACTGGCTACCGAGCCTCCTCAGGTAGTTGCGTTTGCCCAGGAGTCCACGTTAGGTCCGGTAGCACTCCCTTGCTCGTGTCGCCTGTTGTCGCACCAGACACTCCTGAGGCACCACCGCCTTGGTCATCTCTCCTTGCCACGCCTTCGTGGCATGCACTCCCGCCTCCTTGTTTCTGGTCTTCCCACATCTCTGCCTCCCCTCCCGCCCTCGCCTGCCTCGCCCTGTCTTCCTTGCGTCGAGGGGCGGCAGCGCGCCGCTCCTCACTCCTCCTCATTTCCCCCGATGACTGCTCCCCTGCAGACTCTCCACATGGACGTGTGGGGCCCGTCCCGCGTCAGTGGATAGGGCCGCGAGCGCTAATTTCTGCTGGCTGTTGACGACTACACGCGTTACACCACGGTCTCCCCCTTTCGTAGCAAGTGTGAGGTCCCTGATGTCTTGATCCCTTGGATCCGCGTAGTCTATCTCAAGCTCCGCGAGCGGTTCTGCCAGGACCTTCCTGTCCTGCATCTGCAGTCTAACAGAGGTGGTTAGTTCTCCTCCGACCTCTTGCGGGACTTTTGTCGTGGGGAGGGCATTCTCCAGTCGTTCACGCTTCCAGGCTCCCCGTATCAAAATGGGATTGCTGAGCGCCACATTGACTTAGTCATGGAAGTCGCTCATACCTCCATGATCCATGCGGCTGCTCCCCATTTTATGTGGCCGTTTGCGGTCCGGTACGCTGCGCATCAGCTCAACCTCTGGCCCCGTGTCTCCTTGCCGGAGACCTCGCCTGCACTGCGTTGGACGGGGAAGGTTGGCGATGCATCGATGTTCCGGGTCTGGGGTTCTCGTGCCTTTGTCCGCGATACGTCCACGGACAAGCTCTCCGCCTGCGCTATTCCCTGCGTCTTCCTTGGCTTCCCCCCTGACGCGCCTGGCTGGCAGTTTTACCACCCCACCTCGCGCCGTGTCCTGCCCTCTCTGGACGTCACGTTTGACGAGTCGGTTTCCCTTTTACCGTCTCTTCCCCTATTGCTCTGCCCCTCTCCCACCCCCGCCGCTCTTCCTTGCTCCAGGTCCCCCTTCGGTAGACCCCCTCCCCCTTCAGGGTCCTGCTCCCTCAGGTGTGTCTCAGGTAGACCCTCTCTCTGGTACTGTGCCTGTTGAGGTCGCTGTGGACTCAGGTGTTGCTAGAGGTGCTGCGTCTGGGGGTGCTGAGCCTGGGGGTGCTGAGC